AGGCGTCTGTCTGTCCAGCAGCTGGGCCACCGCATCCCCTCGGCAGGAAGAGAACCGTCGAGCCGCTCTCTCCACCCGGAGGGGTCCCTCCAGCCGCGGCCACAGGCTCGGGGACCCGGGCTGGGGAAGAAGGGAGGCTCGAGCCCGACATCTCGCTTCTGAGGGCGCGCGGGCCAGCCGCTGGGAGGAGGGGACGCGCGGGACATCCCTTGGTCGGGGGTCTCTGGCTCTTGCTTTAGAAGGCTCTACAGTGGGGAAACTTCCCAGTGGCCGGGGCCAAATCCCGGCTTGGAGCTGTCAGGGCCGCTCACATCAAGGATGGCGGCAAGGGAGCCACTGGGTTTCCAGGGGGGACCTGTTTGCCTTCACACTTGGTTTTCTAGGAATATGAGACCTGGGGCGAGCCTGACTCCGACGTGCTCTGACAGGTCCCAACAACCAGACTCCGTCTCCGCTGTCACTCAGCCCGTCCTCCCGCCGGGAGTGCGGCACCCTCTCCCCTGCCGCCGCGGGGTGCGCTCCGCGAGTGTGCGAGTGTGCGAGTGTGTGTGTGTGTGTGTGTGTGTGTGTGTGTGTGTGTGTGTGTCGGGAGGGCGTGCACGGTTACCCCACCTCCGTGCAGTTACACACCAGACTCGCCCGAGCGCAGATCGCTGCTGCTCGCGCAGAGAGAGAGAGAGCTTCACCGGGGCCTCATTGCTATCCAGAGGCTCTCGCTGGGCGACCCCCACCCGCCAATCAGCTCCCTGGGCTGCCCTGAAGACTGCCGCACCTGTTTTACTTGCCATCTTGGAACCAATCAATTCCACGATTGATTGGCTTTCTTGTACCTGGAGGGGAACGGAAGGGAACCAGTGGAGCGCAACCGCTTGTTTACCACCTGGTCGGTGGAAAGAGAAAGTTCGGGGTTATTTTGTATTATGGGCTTGGGAGTTGGGGGGCGGGGAGGGGGGGAAGGAAAAAGAAAAGGCTAATAAAAAACACGGGCAGGGGCCAGAGTATTTTACGGTTTTAAAATCAGTTCTTTGCCCACATTCGGGTATGTTGTGCGTTTCTTGCAGACACATTTGTAACAAGGGCTTCACATGAGTAAGTTTAAGATGATAACGTAGTTTATAAAGATGTCTAAAACAGCCAGTGAAAATATTGATCCTCTTGGGGGACGGGGGGCGGGGGGGCATTTAAGTGTCCAAACAAGGAAACATTTCACCAAAGAAGGTGCCAAAGTGGAATCTGGGGGATAAATCAGTATCCTGAAATTGAATACTTTCTTTAGCCCTTACTTAGGTTGGAGAGGAAGATAACATGAGCTGTTGATGCTGGAAAGTTTCACACCACAAGAACAGTTGAGATGTTAGCTGCCCTCTCAGCTCCCTTGGTTTTATTTAGGCTTCTTTTTCTAGTACATTTTTCTCCCTGGGAACTTTTTCTGCCAAAGAGTCCTATCTCGCAAAGAGTTCTGTTAGATTTTGTGGGAGCTTCCTCCCCTCTCTCTGCCCCTTCCCACATCTTCCTTTTATATAAGGCAGAGATTGTTTTCTTTCCACTTTGACATGTCTTAATACTTTTCAGTTTATGGTGAATCAGTCAAAACCGCCCCCCCCCCACACACGCATAGGTGTGGGTCTGTGAGGAATCTGTTTTATTTCAAGCTTCAGAAACCACCCTGAGAGTGGCAGCCTTGAGAAATCTTGGTTTTTAGCTGGTGCTATTTCCATTTAAGAAAGGATCTTCCCCTCCCTTTCCCCCTACTCTTGTGTGTTGTGTGTGTGTGTTTAACTCTCTGAAATTTGAAATTACTTCATTGCAGAACTATTTCCCTGAAGGTGTTTTAATCCTTAAATTCTGCAGGAATGAAGGAGTTCGTGTGGGTGTATGTGTGTGATATTTAATTATTTTCTAAAATAATGACAAAGGGGAAATTATTTTTAATTTCAAAAGTGTCTTTATTTATTTTGAATCTTTTTGTTTGATAGGTGGCCCAGGCAAATAGTGTCGTCCATTGGCCTGTGTCGTTATGGTGGGAGGATCGACTGCTGCTGGGGCTGGGCCCGCCAGTCCTGGGGACACTGTCAGCGTGAGTATCATCACCTGGGGACTTCAGCTCCCTAGGAGGGGGGCTCCACCCTCATTCCAGGCTTCACTCTGCACACCAGAGGCTCACGGCAAGCAGGGCTTGGCGGTATGGTTCTGACATGGGAGTTTTCCGTTCCTGTCCCAGGCGCTGCCTCTTTCCAGCCTGAGCCATCTGTAAGGAGCCAGTTGTGTGACTCACAGGGTGCTCATTTCAGCATCTGTCCCCCGTCTCTCCTGCTTCAGTTTTCTGACCAGGCTCACTCTCTTCTTTGCTGCAGGCTCTGAGATGGGGGTAAGATAATGAGTCTAGACTGTATTTACACTAAATAAACTTAAGGTATAAAATCCTTACCATAGCTGTTGTGTAAAGAGGCCTCTTTTTTTTGAAGTGAGGTTGTATTGACTGTTGACTGTGTTCTAAATGGACCACCCAGTATAATCAAATAATACCTCTGAAAAAGGCATCATTTTTAAGTTCTTTAAGTAATCATGTAATGTGTCAAGTCAAAACATTAATTTTTACCTTTTCCTTGATCACAAATGAATATTTTTAATATATTTTTATTGATTTCAGAGAGGAAGGGAAAAGGAGAGATAGATAGGAATATCATTGATCAGCTGCTTCCTGCACACCCCCTACTGGGAATGGAGCCCACAACCCAGGCAGGTGCTCTTGATTGAATCAAACTCAGGACCCTTCAGTCCACAGGCCGACACTGTTCACTGAGTCAAACCGGCTAGGGCACAAATGGATATTTTTATGGTAAAAATCAAAGCTACAGCACAAAAGTTGGAAAAATTTGTTCCCAGTATTTTATCTGGATTTCAAAATTATATCTCACTCCCCTGCAAAAAAAACCCCCACACAAACAAACAAATAAACAAACACCCCCACACACAAAGCACCCACAAATAAGTAAATTTCAGGAGCATCTTTAGAGTACTAGGTGGGCAGGTCTGTTAAGATGAGGGGAACAAAAGTGGGTTCTATATATCCCAGTGTTTTACTGCTAATAAGAAAGGGCCTTAAAGGAATAGAGAAGGGTAGTTACGAAAGCTGGAGCTGGAAGGGGAGGGCTTGCCTTAGAAACGTGTTGGTAATGTGAAGAGTAAATTTAAGTTCACTTTAAGCAAATTAAATTTACTCTAAGTAAATTAAAGTTAGGTATTCCCTTGGCGGTTTCAGTCTTTGAGAATTGCATGTGATGTCTATCCTGAACTCTCTGAGGAGGGAGAGGGACAGTCACAGGATGACAGGATGACTCTCTAATTGCATGCACAGGCTGACATCTCTGTTTAGGGATGGAAAGGTAAACGGGACTAATGTTTGTCTATCTGCTATCTGCAAGCCACTGGGCCAGACTTTTTGCACAGCTGGGCCATTACATTCTATTATAAAGGGAGATGCTGGTAACTCCAGTTTCCAGTAAACAAAAGAACTAGGCAAACTGTTGTGCC